TTTTTTTTTTTTTTTTTTTTTTATTTCTGAAAATCTTCATTCGGTGCTTATGCGTTGCTGTTACGTTTTTCGAAATGTAACAGGTTTTTTCGTTTTAAGTGCGATCGAAATTTATCGTTGACGTTCGTTTTTTTAACGCGAGTTAAGACGGAAGTAGGTTTTGAAAATTTTAATTCTTGATAGAAGATAAATTGGAGAAAAGCAATCCCTTTTGCAATCAAACGATACCTTTCACTATTCGAAAAATTCGAAAAGGATTTTCCAATAATATTCTTAAAAATCAAATGACAAGAAAAAAGAATAATCACAACTCGCAAGCAAACGAATCCTCTCTTGAAATATTTTTTCCCTTAATTTTCGATTCGTATCTTTCCATGATCTTCTTAAAAAAAAGAAAGAAAGAAAAGGATCGAAGGCAATTCCTGGTCGGATAATCTCTTCCGCTCGATCGAAAGATCGTTTCGTTACGCGATCACCGTTTACGGACGAGCAGCATTCGTCATCACCGTGGCTGATCCCATCAATTGATTAACGCCACCCTCGCTGGTGCTTTCCGGTGGTCGGCGAGATAATAAAAAGCAAACAGATGAATCAACCGGCGTTACAAGGCCGCGAGGATAGGAAGCTCGAGGGCGGGCCATCCCCCTTTTTTGTTGGCTGTCAACGGGCATAAAACGGGGCTGCAAGGGTCCATGTGATTTGATTATCTTCGGTAATACGCTCCGTATGCCACCCTAATTGCTGCGGCCTGGGCCCCCCCACCCACGCCACACGCAAATAACGCGTTGGAATCCGGCGGAAGAATTCACGGTAGCTTGATTAAGGGTAACTTGTTTGTTCTTCCTCCTGGAGAATTTTTTCCTCTTTTCGTTGTCGCCACGCGGGATCCTCCTTTAAGAGGGGAGAGCACGCGTAATAATTTATGGGAATTTTTCATCCTTGTGAGTATAGATATATTTGTATATATATATATATATATATATAGAGTTCAAAGTTCAGTATTTTATTGCGTGATTTGTTTTTGAAACGTTGAGAATAACAAAGTGACGAGCGTTTATCGCGAGTTCCATCCACTCTAGGGATAAGGAATGGAATATTATTAGAAATTCAAAAAGTTCGAGCGAGCAGAATCTATCCACGTATTTTTCCACGATGAATTTTTCATGAGGCTCTTTCTCGGCATAAACAACACCGTCGATAAATAAAGCGCGTTTCACGATTGATCCGTCGCTCTTCAACATGAACGCAGAAAGCTTTTTGATAATAATAAACTTTTTAACTTTAACGTTTCCGGACGGCAGCGTTTGAAGGCACCGGTTCAACCGTTAGGAAAAGGTCGAAGGGTAAAAGGAAACGTCCAAGACGTTCGATTTATCGATCCACGGGCTTAAGACCCCTCCTCATCTCCCCTCCGATAAACCACGATAAATCGTCGCCTCTTTAAAACTCGTTTCCAACCTTGGTGCTTCGCCTGCAGACGTGCTTCGCCTGCAGAGATCCGCGAATTGTCCGAAACGATCGATATTATCGAAAGCGTTGCTAACTGGAATTAATTGTTACGCCATCTTGGCAGTAGATAACGATGACGAGTCCAGCGATGATGTCAGTATTATTATTGGCGTATGAATCGCGTTACAATTAGCAAGATTCGCGTGCGCGATCCCGTTTCGATGATGTCAGAGAGAGAGAGAGAGAGAGAGAGAGAAAGAGGGAGAGGGAGATCGTTAGAAATATCAAAGATCGGCGATAACGTTTGGCGAAGGTCTTCGGCCGTTTATACGGCTCGTTAATATATTTAGCCTCGTCGTCGATGCTCCAGAAAATTTCCTCGCCGCGCTCCAGTTACGAAACTGGATCACTTATGCCACCAACTTGGCCGTTCTGCCCCTCGATTTTCGTAATCGATAATAAGCGAACGACTGGTAAAGGGCAACGACGTTAGAGCGTCCGTCTAAATTAAATTAAATTCGTCAAACTCGGTTATTCAGAAACGGAGTCGTAGAAATTGCCGGTATACGGATACGCGAAAACGCAAATATAGATCCTCGGTATAGGTTCTCAACTTGATTCTCTGGAATCGTCCTCTGTTACGTTTTCAAACAGAACTTGAGTTTCATCATTAAATCTTGTTGAATTAAATTCCAAAAAAATCTCTTTTCGAGCGAATTCTCGAGAAAAATATATTTTTTTTTTTTGTACATATTTATTTTCAAGATCCAT